CCTGCTGCTCTCTCCCCACAGGCAGTGCCCCTGGGCATGGGGCCAGTGCTGGCGCTGTGGGCCTGGCTGGTGCTGGGGACCGCCGGCAGGGAGAACCCTGTGCCCACAGCCCTGGCAGGCGGGCAGCCCTTTGCCGTGCTTTGGAACATCCCCAGCAGCCGCTGCCAGCGCCGCTTTGGCGTGGGGCTGCCCCTGGCCGACTACGGCATCGTGGAGAACCAGGGCGGCCGCTTTGCAGGACAGAACATCACCATCTTCTACAAGAACAAGTTTGGGCTGTACCCCTACATCTCCCCGCAGGGTGTCCCGCACAACGGGGGCATCCCACAGCAGGCACCGCTCCGGGCCCACCTGGCGCGGGTTGCGGGCGACGTGCAGCTGCACCTGCACCCCACGTTTAGCGGCCTGGCTGTGGTGGACTGGGAGGAGTGGCGGCCACTGTGGGCCCGCAACTGGGGTCCAAAGCGCGTCTACCAGCTGGCCTCGCAGCGATGGGCGCAGAAGCGGGGCCGGGGGCGGCGGCAGGCCCGGCGGGCCTTCGAGCGGGCAGCGCGGGCGCTGATGGAGCAGACGCTGCTGCTGGGTCGCAGCCTGCGCCCGGCGGGACTCTGGGGCTTCTACCGCTTCCCCGACTGCTTCAACGGCAACTGGGCCAAGGTGGCCAACTACACGGGGCGCTGCCGGCCGGCCGAAGTGCGGCGCAATGACCGCCTGCACTGGCTGTGGGCCGCCTCGGCCGCGCTGTACCCCAGCATCTACCTGCCGCCGCTGCTGCCGCCCGGCCTGCGCCGTCGCTACGTGCACCACCGGCTGAGCGAGGCTCTGCGCCTGGCCGCCGGCCGCCTGCCCGTCGTGGCCTACTCAAGGCTCTCCTACCGCCGCTCGCCCCGCTTCCTGGAGCCGGTAAGGCCGGGGGGTGGTGCTTGGTGTCCTGGCCTGTCCACCCGGCCACACGGCCCCCTGTCCTTGCAGGCTGACCTGGAGCACACCGTCGGGGAGAGCGCGGCACTGGGGACGGCCGGAGTGGTGCTGTGGGGTGACATGTCGTACTCCCAGTCAGCTGTGAGTGTGGCCAACGCTACCCCACCGGAGCCAAACACTGACAGGCTCAGGAGGTGCCTCGGGGTGCCCCGTGGGGACGCTCCTCATGGCTGCCTCCCCCCTAGGAGAGCTGCAGCAGTCTTCGCCACTACCTCGTGTCCACCCTGGGGCCGTATGTGGCCAATGTGACAGCAGCCGCGCGGGCGTGCAGCTTGGAGCAGTGCCACGGGCATGGGCGCTGTGTGCGGCGGCAGCCCCAGGAGCTGAGCATCCTGCTGCACCTGGGTGTGGGCTCCTGGGCACCCTTCCGCTGCCGCTGCTACAACGGCTGGGCTGGCCAGGACTGCGTGCAGCCAGAGCCGCAGAGCCCTGCCGCCTGCCCCGCGCTCACCCATGGCCTCTACAGCCACCATGGCCCCCAGACCCCTGACACCTGCCCACGGCGCAGCAGCTGGGGCTGGTGAGCAGAGCTGGGGGCTGCTGTGCCAGCACCGGTTTGTCCCATGCTCATTAATTTAAATAAACGGTCCTGCTGCAGCTACATGATCCTCACGGGCAAAACTGGGGGGAGCCTCGAGGTCGGGTACACAAGGAGCCCCTGGTATGGCTTAGGAAGGAACAGACCCATGTTTCGGTTTTCTCAGCTGTGCCTCGTGCCCAGGGAAAGGTGCATGAAGGGCCCTGAGCTCTGCCCTCCCTCCGCCACGCTGGCACCATGCTGCCTGCGGCTGCTGGGCCCCCCTCCCCATGGCTATTTTTATCCCCCCAAACACATTTCATCCTGTCCTATTTTAAGCTGAGCAGTTGGCGCACTAGGAGCCCAGTGCCCGGTTCCCGGGGGCCCCAGATTGCCTGGCTGCCCAGGGGAGCGGGGCCGGGGACATGCCCAGGGAGGCTGCAGAAGGTAGGCTGGCAGCAGTGAGGGGTGTGGGTCCCTGGCACCCGGGGCAGCTGTGCCACTGGGGCTGTTCAGTGGCTATGGCCAAACGCTGCCCACCCCACAGGGATGCCAGCCCAGGGAGGGAAGGGGTGCAGAGCGCTGCGGGACGGAGGGGACAGCGGCTGGCACAGCACTGCAGGCTGCAGAGGGGCAGGCTGTGGGGGCAGCCTGCGATGAGGGGTTTGGCCCATAGTGCCTGCAGGGTGCTTTGGGGGGCCTGGGAGCCCCCAGCCCCAAAGGGCGCTGACCTGGTGCACACCAGCCCCTTGGACAGCACAGCACCAGCCCTGACCCTGGGTGGGGGCACAAGGCCATCAGCCCTGCCCACTGCTCACCACCATGCAAACGCCATGAAAACGTCCCCTCGCTCTGCCCCAATTGCTTCCTGAAACAGTGCTGAGTGAGCTGGAGCCCTGCATGCTGCTCTCCCCATCCTCTGGGCATATATCACTGCAGCACAGGGCACTGGACCAGCATGGGACCCACTCCTCCCTCTGTGCATCCCTGAGCTCTGCAGCACAGTGCCGTGGATACTGCCAACCCAGGTGACAGCCAGGGGCTGCTTGAACCCACAGGCTCAAGGTGGCCCCAGATACTCTGGGACAGGAGCACTTTCCCATCCTGCGTGACTGCCAGCTGCACTAACGAGGCTCTGGGAGTGCAGCCACAAGGCTCCTGCTAACTGCTTCGATGACAGCGCGCGGCGGCTGGGGGATGGCCAGCGCTGGTCTGGCCCCACTCTGCAAGCAGCAGTCCTGTGCACTGGGTTGGCACCAGGGCTGGCATTGCTCCTGGGAGTGGTCATTGTAGCTGGGGGCCTCCGGTCACCTGAGGAGTACCTGAGATGCACTCACCCCTTTCCTTGCTTCCTGCAGATGGTGTGGGAAGGGCAGAGGGCACCGTGCCAGCAGAGCCCGCTGACTCCGATGGAATGGACCCCGGAGCCATCAGCCTGCACCCCGTGGCGTCCATCAGTGACCTGCACTGGGCCTCCGCTGGGCACAAGGGCACAGAAGGTGACAAGAACAGGGCGAGGGGCTGCGGAACAGGGGGCTGAGGGCAGGCGCTGACCCCCTTATCCCTGCTGCTGCAGGGAATGGCCCGACTCCATCCAGTGCCCGGCTGCACCGAGCGCCCCGCGGTCCCCCGCACCTGCCCACGCTGCGCCCCGTGCCGCCTCCAACCACGTGCCCCTGCCCCGGGCACTCCTTCTTCTTTGCTCTGCTGGGCTTCCTGGCGCTGGCCAGCCTGGTCCTGGCCACGCTGGCCATCTACCTGAGCGGTACGTGGCTGTGGGTTGGGTGGTGGGAGGTGGCAATGTCTGAGGACAGCCGACAGCCGGTCCCCACCATGCCCCACGCTCCCCACAGTGCTGCAGAGCCAGTCGGTGCAGGCGCTGGCCCAGTGGCTGGAGAGCCAGGAGGACGCCATGCGCCAGCTGCGGGCGGCCAGCGGGCAGCTCTGGGCTCACCTCAATGCCAGCGCCCAGCGCCGCTGAGCCGCCCCACGGAGCAGCCCCACACGGATCGCCCCATCCCCGGGACGCACGGGGGCAACCCTGGCCTCGCCAAGCTGCTGAAGAAAGGGAAGGGCTGCGAGGATGGGCACCTGCCCCAGCAGGAGGCACCCTCCCATCACTTTATCATTACCTCCTGCCATTGAGGCTTAGGAAGTCGCCAACACGACCACGTTCCCACGTGCCTGCCGCTGCTCCCCCAGCGCACGGCGGTGCCAGGATGGCCCTGGGAGGCACAGAGCACCGAGGTCAGCCCCGTGGACTGTGCCACGTTTGGGCAGCCAGGGGCCATAGCAGACAGCTGGCATGGCACAGAGCGCAACGGCAGCCTCTGCCTCTCCTGTTACCCTATTTTTGGTTAAAAAAATAAAAACGAGGGAGCAGCCCCCAGTGGGGCAGCCCCAGGCATTAAATACTCTGCTGTACATATATGCTGTTGGTAGACAATGTTCTGAGCTGGGCACAAGGCAGCTCTGTCTTGATGGCATGAGTCCTCCTGCCAACTCCTCCTTCCTGTCCCCATCCTCGTTCCCATCCTTGTCCCATCTCTAACTCCATCCTTGTCCCCTTCAATGACTCATCCCTGCCCCATCCCTGCTGTACCCACACTTACCCCCAGCTCTGGCACTGCCCCGTTCTGTCTCTGTCCCCATTCCTGTCCATGCTCTGTGCTCAGCTCCATGCTATTCCTGTTCCACTTCTGTCCCCATCCCACAGTGTTTCATCCCTGCCCCATCCCTGTCCACCCGTGTATCCATCCCCATGTCTAGCTGTGTCCCCAGCTCCATCCCACCCCTGTTCCATCCCCAGCTCCATTTGTGCCCCATCCCTATACCCCTATTTCTCAGCTCTGTCCCCAGCCATTCCACTTCTGTCCCCATTCCTGTCCCTATCCCATTTCTGTCCCCATCTCAATTCCTATTCTGTCTCCATCTGTTTCATTTTCATTCACATTCCCATCCCATTGTTGTCTCTATCCCTGTCCCCATTTTTGTCCCCATCCCTATCCCTACCCTGTTACGCTTTTGTCCCCATCTCTGTTTTACTTCCGTCTCCATCTCTGTCCCACCTTGTCCCATCTCTGTCCCCATCCCTTTCCCCATCCCTGTCCCCTTCCCGCACCCCCCACCCGTCGCTGTTGCCTTTCCCCGCCCATTCCCCGCACTTTCGTTTCCAGCGGCCGCTCCTGGTATCAGAACCGAAACTGACGCAGAACCGAAACCGTCGCCAGAACCGAAACCGAAAGGGCGGCCGCCGAGTCACCGTCCCTGCGTTCCCAGCTGCGGGGACACGTTCGGTGCCCCGTGCCGGCTGCGGGGTGACCGCATCCCGAGGTCCCGGGAGATGAGGACCATCGTCCCCAAAGCGGCGGCAGCGCGAGGAGCTCCCAGGGGTGCCCCGGGGGAACGGCGGGGGGAGGGCGAGAAAGGGGGGTGGCCGAGGGGCGGGACCACCCGGCTGGGGGCGGAGACCTCGGGGTTTAAAGCTGCGGCGGGCGGCGTCGGGGCGCAGTGAGCGGGATGGAGCTGGGTGCGAGGTTGGCGGTGGGGCTGGAGAGCGTGAGCCAGCGCCAGCTGGAGGGCTGGGTGGCCGCCCATCTGCAGCCCAGTCCGGAATTCAGCGCGGCGGTGAGGCAGACGGTGAAGGACATCTGCGACTTCCTCAAGGAGCGCTGCTTCGAGGGCATCCGCGTACTCAAGACCGTCAAGGTGCCCGCAGCCCCCCGCCGCCCTGCGCCTGGGTTGGGGGCCGGGGGCCGGGGGCTGAGCCGTGCCGTGCCGTGTCCCCGCAGGGCGGCTCGGCGGGGAAGGGCACGGCGCTGCGCAACAGCTCGGATGCCGATGTGGTGCTCTTCGTCAACTGCTTCTCCAGCTACCAGGAGCAGGAAGAGCAGCGGGGCCGCATCCTCGCCATCATCGAGAGGCGGCTCTACGTGTGTCCCCCGGCGTCATCCAGTGTCAGAATCAGCACTCCGTGCTACAAGGACAGCCGGGACAGACCGCGCTCCCTCAGCCTCACCCTCTCCTCCTACACCTCCGGCGAGTCCATCGACGTCGACATCCTGCCTGCCTACGATGTGCTGGGTAGGATGGGGCACGGGGTGGGATGGGGGCTCAGGGTGGGGGCCATATGTTGGGCTGTGGGGTGCGGGACGGGGCTCAAGGTGCCTCTCACCTTTACAGGGCAGGTGATTGAGGATGCCCGCCCAGACCCCGAGGTCTATGTGAAGCTGTTGGCCACGCGCTGTGGCCCTGGTGATTTCTCCCCCAGCTTCACAGAACTGCAGAAGAACTTCCTGAAGTGGCGCCCTGCTAAGCTGAAGGACCTGGTGCGCCTGGTCAAGCACTGGTACAAGCAAGTGAGTGGGGTTACTTGGCTGCTCTGTGCCCCCACAGGCACCTCAGAGCCCCACCAGCTGCCCACTCGTGTGCCCCCAGGTGCTGAAGCCGCAGTACCCCAACGCTAAGCTGCCCCCCAAGTATGCGCTGGAGCTGCTGACCATCTATGCCTGGGAGGAGGGCACAGGCAGGGAGGACTTCAGCATGGCCGAGGGCTTCTGCACTGTGCTGGAGCTGCTTGGCCGGTACCAGGACATCTGTATTTACTGGGAGAAGTACTATTCCCTGCAGGATGAAAGGATCGGTGCCTACCTGAAGAAGCAGCTGTGCCAGCCCCGGTAAGGAGCGTGTCCCCATCCTACTGCTGTGCTCCAGGGGCTGTGCCCTGATGGCAGGACCCTCTCTGTGCCTGCAGCCCTGTCATTCTGGATCCTGCTGACCCCACTGGTATCCTGGGCCAAGACAAGAGCTGGGACTTGGTGGCCAAGGAAGCTGCCCGGAGCCGTCATTCACTGCCCTGCGTCAGTGCTACCCGCTCCTGGGATGTGCAGGTAGGGCTGCTCACACGGCAGCACTGTGGTCCCACCTGTTGCCTATGGCTATAACCCACCTGCCGTGTGTCCCCACAGCCTGCCCGATCTGTGACGGTGCAAGTGAAGCAGTTGCAGGGCATCAGCCTGAGCAGGAAAGTCAGACCCAGCACCCAAGTCTGGGAGCTGAAGGGGGAGATAGAGAAGGAGTGGGGCATCCCCCGCTACCAGCAGCGCCTGGCCCTGCAGCAGAACTTCAGCAACTGCCCCAGTGTGCTGCAGGACGGGGACAGCCTGGCCAGCCACGGCCTCTTCTACGACGTCACGTTGCTGCTGC